CAAAGGAGGGCTGGCCAAGCAGCTGTCCCTCCCACATCCGTACCATTGGCTCCTCTTGCTCCAGACATGCTGTTTTGCCTCGATTCCTCCATCTCCTCCCCTCAGTCACCCCTTGGCTGCTGTTTGCAGTCCCTGACACTGTGGGACAGGGCAGAAACTCCTCCTTGCCAACCTAGTTTGCTTGTGCCATGAGAAAAATTAAGGTTTTCCAGATTTGTGTCTGATGTCTCCATCCTGGCTAAACTCATCTTGCTGTTACCCTTTTGGGTGCTAGCAGCTGCCCATGTGTCCCTGTGTCTGTGTGATGTGGGCTACGCTAGGCTGTGCTTCCCACCGCAGCCCCTCCGCCACGCTGAGCCGCAGCGGTTTGATCTCTGCAGGAAACACCGTTGAGCACCCGGAGGCCAAGCAACCGCTCCAGGCACTCGCGCCTGCTCTCTGCCCCCTCCTTCCGCCACACTGTGCCAGCCCAGGTCCTGCCCACGCAGCCAGAGGCCACATCCTGGGCTGACTGGGGGCTGCAGGGCCACTGGGGCCGTGCTGGTCCCCATGCTGGGCATCGCGCCGCAGTGCGCTCTGGCAGCCGCTGCCACGGCTCACCATGCGATGAGCTCCTTCAATGGACTGTGGTGCCTTGCAGAGCCCTTGCGTGTGCCCAAACCAGCTGCTGGCAGCTGAGAGCTGTCCTGGAGGCCCCCATAAAATGGGATTTTCCCCCCTAAATATTAGGCAATGGGACACCTGGTCTCTTCTGAGGTCCAAACCCATCGGGCAGCCCTGTGGGGGCAGGAGAAAGCCAGAGCCGGGCTTTCCTGGGTTGTAACATAACACAATGGGGCAAACAGGCACTGTGCTCCAGCTGTTTCCACACGTGGAGATGGATGGCGCCTGCCCAGCAGCCTGGGAAGACCGGCGATACAGAGGGCCTGCGTTTCCATGGAAAGCTGGTGTTCTACTGACAGTCAGTCAAGGAGTGGATTCTTTCTTGGAAAACAACAGTTGGGGCAAGGGTGCTGGGTAGAAAGAGGAGCTGCTGTCCCCCGTCCCCTATCCTGTCTGTGCGCAGCACCACTGACATGACCGGGATGGAAAGGGCAGCTGGCACAGATCTGCCAGCTGCCACCCTGCTTGGCTGATGCATGGGGCTGATAGGATCTGTGCATCACATCCTGCTGCTGTCCCCCCAGCCTGCCACCCCCATGGACAGGTACCTTCCGGCGACACTGCCTGCAAGGCTGGTGGCCCCATGGCTGGCACAACTGTGGGGC